GGTATAGATATTTGAATCATAAATGAGTTTTAGAACAGTAAACTATACTAAGTCTATCAGAGACAATATAAAATACGCCAGCTGCAGTCATTTATTCAGTTTTGAACATCATAAGATACAATGATGCCAGGTTATCGACCAAATTTGCACATGATACCCAACAACAAAAGCATAGAGGGAAAAAATATTCATAGAGTAACTGAGTAAATAAAAGTATTGATACATCGCTCAGAGGATGACTGCCTGTGTTAAATAGAACACTTAAACTTCCCCCTTTACTCCATTAATTCACAAAGATGAATAAATCCATAGTGAACGATACCTACATAAGTTTATGAATGACAAACTTTGGTGAAATAAGACAGCAACCTTAGTGCCAGCACTGATACTTAAAAGTTGACTTTGTATTCATACACATATTTAAAGGACATAAACAAAAAATTTGAAAAGAACACAGGGATACACTTTATGCTCACATGTTTAACATTTTCTTTAATTTTCAGAAATGTTGTAATTGATAGATCTCTATAAACATAGGTTTACAAGCCTTGGCCGATAACTGGATGAAGAATCTAACACCTGTGAGTTCTCTACCTAAATTTTAAAAAAATGAAAGTAAAGAGAATAAGCTTAGACAAGTTCTCAACTCATCGAGGGAAATTTGGAAATAGAGAAATAGGAGGAAAAATATCTACTTCATACAAATGAAACCAACAAGGTTACTTCAGCAATTATGATTTATCCTTTTAGATGAAAAGTTAATTATTCCATGCATCAGACTAAATTAATTAAACAAGTAAAGAACTCGCCTGAAGAGCAGCAAGATTGGTAGAGATGTTATTCAAGGCCTGTGCATTTTTCTCTAAGAGCTCTCCTGCAGGGCCTCCAATAGCTACAAAAGGAACAAAACAAAGATCAAAGCAGACACTTCAACATTCAAAAGGAACATGCAAAAAAAAAAACATGAGATCTCCAAAGCAATGAAAAGGGCTACAAGACATAGATCATAAATGCAAACATCAAAATATTTACTGTTATGAAAGAAACGAACCTTTATGACAGATGCTGTCATCATTGTCCATCATCTTCATTGCAGGAGAATATGGGGAAACATTAGATTGAGCAGTAAAGTGAGATGATCTCACTGCAGGATCTGAAACCTTTTCCTGGAAAAAAAAGCAGTTTTCCGTAAATGCAATTATATGCTACATAGCTTTTGCTTCCTTTTTTCATCTTTTCAATGGTATTTCTTTCAAGCTAACCTTTTCTATATTTAACATGTAAAAACGAGAGAAAATTACAAGCTAGCTTTTTTTCAGTTTAGAACATTTAAAATAGAAGATGCTTGGCCTATTTCAAGATCGAAGGTATAATAATAACCAGCAGAATGCAATTCCATGGAGATGAACGAAATTCATTGGAATAATCTTTCCACCTGAATAGAAAAGACCAAACAACACTAAAAGGAGATGATATCATAACGGGCAGAACATGAAGATGCTTGCTACAACAAAAAAATAAAAGCCAAGGAGCTAATCCATTAACAATATGATAAGTATTCAAGCACTTGACGAATCCAAGCTCAAAAGCTGGTTACTAAGGGGAGTGGGAAGAACCAAACACTTAAATACTCCATCAAATTCCTATCATAGCAACACCTCTAACAGTTAACAACTTGGCAGCATTCAATCAAGGAAACTTCACTCGGTGACACTTCATTCAAGTCCTTGTTTGGTCAAACCCCTCCCTAGGTAGCTCTTTTCAAGACACCAAAAGTCAACACTGATACCAGTTGATAAGTACTCAAGCACTTGAGAAATTCACTCTTAAAGGGTAGCTCTTAGGGTGGAGAGTTAAACACCCAAATAGTTCATTGAACATCTCATATACTCGACATGGGACTTAGGCACCCAATAATATCCAAGTTTCTATCACAATTTCACTACAATAATCATTAACATATATAAAGTCTAACCATTTGCTTTCATATTTATTATCAGTTCAAAATAGTAAGTCGTATGATGGGGTGGTATTATATATTTCCCTCCTGTCAATATGTGTGGTTAAATGTGGGATGTAGGGTTGCCAGAGTAAATGCATTGGAAAACAACAAAAAGAAACAGAAAGATACTGTAGCATGCACATGACAGTGAAAGATGTTAAAAAGCACATCTACACTGGTATGCACAAGAGTGAGAACACAAAATACCCATTCAAATAATACATAGATGATATCAAATAAATGTAACTGGTACCTTTCTATCTTTACTTTTCCTTGAAAATTCATCCTTCCTTCTCTTGCAATTTTCCTTTTTCTGTAGAAAAATACAAGCCAGACAGGTCGTTAGTTGGAGAAAGTAACCAATTTAAAAATCTTTGGGACTTCTTTGGAACTTTATGAAATATATATTGAATATTTGTGGTAGATTTGTAAATTTAACTACTGTAGGTGCATACAACAACTTTGAGTTATAACAATGCCTTCAAAAGGAAAGCAAATAATGTTTGCTTAAAATAAGTGGCCAAAAAGAGGAGCAATCAATAACAAACTAGCTCAGCCTCTTAGAAATTGTGTTCATTTTAATCAGAGTATGCAGAAGCTAAGTGTAAAACAATCTCATCTTGTTTTATTTTCCATCAAGAATTAAAGTGTTGCAACTTGCAAAAGCTATGTAACTTTCCAGAACCATTCTAATTGTGGAAACTTCATAAATTAACCTTTCTTGCTGAAGGTAAGATGATTATCTTTAACCTTCAAAAAATAATAAACATAATGAAAGAAAAATAGTTTTATGCATCATCTCTAACAAAAAAATTAATAAACACTCTATCTAGGCTGAAAAACAGGTTAAGGCATTCATAGTGACATAAACGACTTGTGACAACAACACGTATGTAGCTTACATTCATCCACCTGACCCTCAGTGCTACATCCCGGACTGTCTTGTTATTTAGATTTATTGCTATCTTTGCATAGCGAGTGAGATTAGGTTCAGAAGCAAACCTACAAGTAAAAAAGAAAGTGTCTTTTCTTCAAACAATGACTAGCTACTGAACTTATTAAACACACTTACTCGTCAAGAAACAAATGTTAAAAGGCAAACAATATAACACTGAAATCACTGAATAAGCACAGAACGCAATTCAAGATTATCTGCTTACACATTAAAGTAAATACATGTAATAAAAATATTTGATTTCAAACTGCAATAACCAATCCACAACATTACAAGGTCACAAAAATACTTTAAAAGAAAAGGTGACACCAGAAAATATAGGTTAAAATACCCTTTTATACTCAGTTTTTCTTATGTTTCATTCTGGTTCCCTTAAAGTCTTTCTGTTGTACCATACAAACTTGGTCAATTTGGTAACATATGACCTTACAGACTATGAGAAATGTCACGTGAAATAAGTGTTTGTTATGTTCGCTATAAGTAAGATTGTTAATACAAAAAAATAATTAACGAAAGAATTAATTTGTTCAAACAAAGACATAAGATAAACATAGAGATTGAACTAAAACCAGAAAGAGTAAAATGAAGGACAACAAGCTTATAGAAAAAGAAAAAAGAAAAAAAAATACAAAGATACCATTACACATAATTGTTCTCGACAGATTCTAATGGAACTGCTTATCAGAACCTACTCCCATATCAAATACACCACATAGATAGCCAAAGTATTTATCAATATCATCAAAACATTAATACAGACACACTTTGAATTTCCAAAAACCATGTGCAAATCCCCCCACAGAACAAAAGGCTTTGAAAATAAAAATAAATAAAAAAGTAAAAGCTGAAACAACAAAGCAACAATCAACTCACAAAAAAGGAAAGAAAAGAAAATTCGGTATCATACAGAGAGAGTCCTTCTTCGAGAATGGTTTGTTCCCGAGGGGTCCAATCGAGGGCGATGCCAGAGTTGTGCTTCATGGCGAGCGCGGTGGGCGAAGTGTCGGCTGCCAAATTCCCGTTGAACGACGACGCAACATGGGTTGTCTGCTCTTCTTCGTGATTCCCAGAAGGGTTAGCCATTGAAAATTGATGCCCCTTTTTCCTTTTCTTTCCAAAGATTCCAAGGCTGAATCTTTACACGCGAATCTTTCACAATTGGCCAATTCCACGAAAAAAGGTATCCGAATTGACAGTTGGTTCCCGCCACTTACCATATAACATCAAAATACATTTGAAAATGAAACAAAAATTCAAAAAAAGAGGGAGTGAGGGAGAGAGAGAAGTTGATAACTATGGGCAAGTTACAGTGAAGAAGAAAGAAAAAGGATATGGATGATGGCAGATAGAGAAAGAGGAAAGGACGCACTGCTACTGTGAAAAATCATAGAGGAATTCTTTTCTGTCTTTACCAAAGCTTTAGCTTTTGATGAACGAAGAATCATCAAAGTATAAACATTTTTCATAAAACATGCTTTGTTTTTTCTATAAAATAAAAGAATTTATGCTTTAATAAAATAGAACCGGCAAAAAGAATATTGATTTTTAATCATTTTTAATACAATAAAAATATGTACATGAGATTAAAATCAAATTTTTATCTATTTTATAATCATTAAAAACATATTTTTGTCTAATTAAAAGATAGGCAAATAAAAAAATACATATAATTTACTCGTATAATCACTCATAACCATTTAAGATGAGCTTTTTAATTTTTTTAACTATTGTTTCTTAAATATTATTACATTTTATTTATACTCACCAGCACATAAATATAAATGCTGAAAATATAGATAAATGACACTTTATCTTCTTTTTTTTCAATAATCAATTTGCTTGTTAAATGTATAAAGTGGTGATAATTTAGTAGTTCAACGTCTGCGTAATGTGATAAAAAAAAATATATTCTTTCGTTATAAATCATGTAAAAGGTGTGACTTTTTTATTTATTTATAATTTAATACCAAATTAATCTAAAATATATAAATTAATTTTAAATATTATTATTTTATGACAAATAGTTTCATAGAAATTACATGTAACTGTTTAAGCTATTGCAATTTCAAATTCTTCTAGTTAGGTTGTTTTTTTTTTTGGGTTTTCTGAATCTCACACCACTCCGTAGTAATGAATCCGATTCCTTTTCAATCTGTAGCACGGCTTCCTCCGCCGCCGCCTTGGTTTCCGGTATTACCGTCGGAACCACCGAATTCGACTTCCTTTTGGGAGAACAGAAATGTCAGCGATCGCCTCAGGGAATTGCAACACACTCTCAATCTCGCAAAGGCAATGTATGTTCTTCTTGTTTTACACTGCGAAAACCTCTTTCAGTTATTTTATGATTGTAAGCTATTCTCATCGAAATTTCTTAGCAGGCTATCTGATATTGTTGAACTAGTTGAGTGTTATGTTGTGTAGGCAGAAGGAGCTAGAAATGTTGATGATGATAAAAGATGGTAATGGGGCTCTAGAAGGTGTGAAACTTGTCACAGATGAACCTTGCCTTTCTGGTTTTCTAAAATGTATAGAAGACGGAGGGGTTAGTGTAGAATCCCATGAATCATTTGCTGTGGAAGCAGCAAATTCTTTGATGTCAAAGCTAAGAGCTCAGCTGGAGCCTTTCCGGTATGTTGCTGATGAGGCAAGTCCATGGGAGGAGAAATCAGCTGTGGCTAGGCTTGCAAATAAAGTAAACAAGTCTAAACGGAATAAACTATGGAGGAAGAAAAAGAGGAAACGTGTTGCGGAGATGATTGCAAAGGTTGTTCTGCTTTGGTTTGGTTTGGTTTTGTTAGTTTTTCCCCCTTCATTGTAGCTTCTGTTTGAGACTGATTAATTAGTTGCTTTCTTTGTTGAAAAAATCTAGGAGCGTGAGCAATTTCAACAAATCGACAGGGAAGCCGATGATTGGGTTGCTAGGGAAAAGGCCAAGGAAATTGCTAACAGCAAGGTATTGAAACCTTTTCAAAATATGCCTACTTTTATTTTGATTGAAATTGGTTATTGTTTTTTACTTGAAGCTGAATGAAATAGCATGCTAGTATGATTTAAATTTTAATTACGAAGGGTTCTCAACAAGATATATGATTAGAATGGGTGCTTAAGTAAACATGAACTACTAGTTGATTATGGTAAAGTTCTCATACTTTATTATTATTGTTATTATTCCGATTTATTGTGCACTCCCTGTTGCTGTACTGTTTTTATGGCTATATACTTCCAGTTTCAGAGCGAGGTTAATTGAAAGGCATTCAGTTTATGAAATTTCAAATAACACATTTCTACATATTTGCTTCAAATCAATGTGTCTATTTGTCCGACTTGTTTCAAACTCTTTGCTGCTATGTTGTCTTTATTGTTCTCTGTGGAAAAATAGGGAAGGGTAACATTGATTCCTTGTTTTGGTAGTTGCCTATGGATATATTAGCAGTTACATTAGTTTGCATTGCAAGTCTTATCTAGGAAGAATTTCTATTTACAGGTATTGAAGATGAAAGAAATTGCGAAGTCTAAGGCCAAAGAAGAGAAGAAGAAACTAGAGGCTGAGGTAACTTTATTTTTTAACAAATGACTAGTAAACCATTGCCAATTTATGGTAGCTGTGAACTCTGAAGAACTTGGTCGAACATTCCATGCAAGGCAATATAACATGTTCTGACTTTGATTTGCACTTGTTAACTACTAAATCATATAATTTCTACCTTTATTTTTCAGTGCAGTATGTTTCTTAGCTCCTCACCATCAAATTCATTTTGCTGTCTTGTGTTTCTATTTTTGTCGTTTTTGTGGCTGCCGTGCCAAAGGGTTCATGGTTTTTTTTGGTATGTGTCTCTTAAAAAGCATATGCATGGCTTTCATCTGCCTGTGTGTTTATTTGCTGAACAAGAATCATGCCATTTATTTGCGTTCCTCATCATTTCCTCTTACTTTTCCATTGGGTGATGATTAATTGATTCTCTTACATTACTTTATATCACAGCTTGAGCTGCTCTTGGTAGTGGAGAAGCTTCAGGAGTTACGCTCCATAAGAATACAAAGGTTGAAAAAACAAGGTATATATAAGAAAACCACTCTGCTTCTTGTTATCTGTGCTATGAACTTATGATTATTATAGTGCACATTATTACTTGGTCTCTTTGTCAGTCTGCTTGGTTTCTTTTTCTCCATCCTTGTTGCCATTTGTACCATTTTAACTTGTTATTTACTTTTTTTACCTTCGCAGTACTGAATACTGGTTTATGATTGATTGATTTGATTTGATCATATCTATAAATTATGTGTGCCAGAATTCAAGCTCTGATACTTTAGCATTTTGATTCTAAATAGATAATTATTCACCTTATAAATGTATCGTGAGAAATATATAATCAACACATTTGTTAATTATCAAACTGAAACTGTACATTCTTAATGGTTTTAGTTGTTTTTCTAATTGGAAAATCTTCAATATTCACATTTTTTGTGCATACAAGAGTTTGTAATATTCATATATTTACATATTTAACGAATACTTTTCTTATGAATTTTTAAAAATGATCAGGCCATTTTCTCCCAGAGGAGGATGACAAGTTTCTTGAGAGAGTTCAAGCTGCAGTGAAAGAAGAGGAGCGTGAAGCTTTGGCTGCAGTTGAAGCAGATGCTGCTAAAGAAGCAATTGCAACTGCTGAGGAATCCAGGAAAGCTATTCAGAATCAAGGGAAACTGTCAAAAGAAGGCAATGATGATAGTGAAGTAAAGGAGAACAAAGAGCAAATAGTTCCCAGTGTGACTGAAGACGGATCTGGTCCATTGGATGAGAATAAATCCAGTAAAATAGAACAGATCAGTGGAGGAGCATATGATCCTTTGGCAAATTTACCCATTGAGTTCTACCATTATTATCATGGAAGCAACAATGATATGGGTACACTTATTGAGGTAAACTCAACTAATTTTGTTTTTAAATTCTACATTTTCTTGGATAACAGCACTTTTCTTTTTGTTTTCTTAGAATAATTACATAACTAGTCAACTTTTCTGTGTTTGAAGACTGCTAGTTTTACCTGATTGGTTCACTATTTGCCTAATGAACTTTTTTTTAATTACCAGCTTATGTTTAATTCACTTGCTTGTTCATTATAATTTTTTTATTGTTAATGTTATGGCTGGCATACAATCTCATGCAGGTTAGAAGAGGATGGGATGCCTATATCAGACCTGGTGGAAGGTAAGAATGATGAAACTTTTGTGGTAATGCTTAATTCTTTGGGTGGGGTGACCATGGAGGGGTATTTTACTTATAGATCTCAATGCCCGAAGTAATTTCACATATAAATCTTATGAATATTTTACCTCATTTCTTAAGTGCATACGAAAGTTGCTTTTAGTGAAATATTTTTATGTTTTATGCATATCTATGATTATATTTCAACAGAGTTAAGAGAGAGAACGTTGGGTGTTAAGTTCTTAAAATATATTTATGAGAGGTCTAGACTCTAACTAAAGTACCAGACTCACCACCACCTTTTATTACACTAATGATCTGTACACTCTATATTAGATATCACACAATCTGTTCCACTGTTCTTACTTCACATGTTTGTGCTGTAGTTACGTTTAGAATGTATTTTCATAGTTGCTTTCACTCATTTTGGTTAGTGTCTAGTATGCATGTATCGTAATCAGTGTGAAAAATGAAAATCAATCATTTATCTTATTTGATATTTTTTCCTTGCATCCAGCCGCATACCTGGGCACTGGGTTCAGCCTCCTCCACCAGCTAATGAGATATGGGCATCTTACTTGGTGGGGCCTAGATGATTAGTTAACAAATCAACAGTTTTGTACAAAGATGTTATCCCGTCATATGGTAAGTTTTGAAGGTTTGACCTATGTTCCTGACCAACCTCAGCTATACGCTTTGTGGCGGCATGTTTACATATTTGTAACTTGCTCATCATGTATTCAGTTCATACGTGTTATTGTTAAATTTACATGAAGATAAAGAGAAAAAATTACTTATACTTCCTTTTTCTAAACAACAATGGCAATTTACATTGAAAGGAAAGCTATGCTAGACTCGTCGATTTACAGTTAAATCACATTTTATTGTTAAAACGTATTTACATGCTTTCAGAAACCTTGTTCTATATTAGTTAAATCTTACCGTGAGGTGAAGGGGAAGTCATGATGGAACACTTTTCTGCTTCGTGTGGTAGAGTTAAACACATGGAAAATACAGAGGTTCAGAAAATAGCGATGGCATGTCAAAATTCAGGCTGTTTGGTTGTGAAGAAATTGGGAGCAAAGAAAAATATCACACGTGGCTCTCACAACAAAATTAGTAAAGTACTTAATGGTTCCAGAAAGTTATAGACACTTGATGAGCTCCTGATTTTTTATTTATTTTTGGATGAGTCCTTGAAAAAAATTTTCAACCAACATTTTAGTCCTTCTGTTAGTAGGAGTATTGACAGAAGTTCAAATCATTAATTATAATAGTGACGACTCCTTTTTCATTCTTAGATGACTCTTAATTGTCAGTTACAATGTAGAGTAGACTTTTCAACTCTAGTGGAAGTTCAAATCCTTGATGCTTTTGTTAGAAAAGTACTTCATCAACTGCTGAGTGTTGTGGACATGAAAGACAGCACGATGAAGTTGAGATCCACCCTGGAAGAACAGAAGTCCATCATTGAAATAGTAGAACCAGTGACTGAGTAGATAGATTATCTTAACTATCGATTGTGTTTGATAAACAAATGGCAGAAAAATCCTCAAAAGGTGTTGCTTCGGGTGGCTTGTATATAAATTTTTACTGGCAACTCTAATCCTATGAAATGGCACATGCATTAGATATTAAGTGAAACATTCAAGTGTTTTGAATGTGAGAATATGCAGCAGTAGGCCCATCTGCACTAATGTGAGAGGACATGGAACTCTATAGAAAGTTGCATCAGAAAAACATCAATCAAATAGTTTATTTTATTTTATTTATTTGCATTGCAATACTGAAGGGACGGAGTTAAAAAACCAAATATGGATGGTCTGTATGTTGAGGAAGGATATTGTTAATATAAGCTTTGGGTTATATGCTAAGAGTTGCATTATGGTTCCAATTCTTACTTTTAATTTTTAAATTTTCTTATCAATTAAAATTAATTATTATTTTTTTATAAATTTTATATAAACCATTAAATAATTAATATGAATTAAAAATTTAATATATCTTTTACTATTTATTTTGTAAATATTATTGATTTTTTTTTCTAATTTAAAGTTATGAATTTTATTATTATTTTAATGAATTCTATTTTTAATATTTATTTTAATTTTTAACTTAAATTATTTTGAAAAAAATTAATATATTTAATAAATACATATTTACAATATTAATTTAAATAATTTATTTAAATTATAACTTAAATTTCAATTTATGATCAAATTAACTTATCATTATTAAAAAGTTACAATGTTATTAATGTTAAAACATAAAAAATGTAATATACAAGAAAATAATATTTTTCAGAGTATTATATTATTTTAAAATAGAAAATAATTGTTATTGCGATTTTCCAGAAACCCTTTGTAATAGGGGTGGTTTTCGAACCCCGAATAGTTTTGATGGTTTTAGTTTCGGCATATTTAGTAGAATTTCGATAAATTATTGTGATTTTTCAGAAAAAATAGACGCGGTTTAACATATTTTTCTCAGGAAACATATTTTCTAAGAGTTAAAATTATCAATAACATTAAGAATAACTCCCGAAAAAATTACAAATTTTTTAGTGTTGATTAGTTTTTTACATAGAAACAATCCCATAAGCTATCAAAATAATTACATGTTAATTTAGACTTAAACATCAAATCAAACATACAACAAAATATTACTTTAATTAATACTCTTATTATGATAATTGATTGTGTTTAATCTTTTTAACTATAGCCTAGTGATAACATGTTTGGGTAGAATAATTGTGTTAATCATGTTTTTGGTTTTAGATTTGAACTTAAAATTAAAGTTTTTTTCTTCAAAATTTTAATATATTTTCTTCAAATTTTAAACATAAACAGATGCAGTTTTTCTTTTAAAATTGAATTGTGTTAAATTTTATTAAATTTATTAAGTAGTGTTCTAAATTGACATTTGTTAGCTGTTAAATAATTCAAATATAATATATTTAAAGTTTTGAAATTAAACTATATTAAACATGGAGAAAAAAAACGAATACTAATTTTATATTAAAATTTGAAAATTAAAAATATATTTAATCTTTTTGTTATTTATCATATTTTGCATCTTTTCTTCAAGAGGTATCAATACATTTTCAGCAACACTGCTATAAATATCTCTACTCATATTAATTGAAATTTATTTAAAATAACAAAATTTAGTATTTAAAATTTAGTGTTTCTACTTTACAAAGCATGTCGTTGGATGGAAACTTATGTTTATGTTGTCATTCATCGTTGTTGGTTTTATTCATTTTCATGGATTCTATCCTTTTCATTTTTTTTTTCAATTCTATTATGTTATTCTCTAAAGTTAACTCTTTGACGTCTTTTAATGTGAAAATTATAATTAATATTAATTTATATATATAAATTACATTTAACCATTCAAATTTATAATATTTGTTCATAGTTAGAAGGTTAAGGGTTTATTTAACTTCTAATATAATATGAAAAGTTGATTATATTATAAAAATTTTGTAGGTTATTTTAGGAAAACACTAAAAAGATTTATATAAAAGATCAATATATTAGTTTTAACTTAAAATCTTAAACAATAAATTTATGTGAGTCCTCTTGCTTAAATATTGTGTATTTTACTTACTTTTATTCATTATAAATTTTTTAACTCATTATAAATTTCTAACTAATTTAACAAACGAATAATAAATTTTATTTTATGTGATGTTTTAATATAAATGTTTTAGACTTATATTTGACATAAAAGACTTTTATGAGAATATCTTATGTTAAGATGGTAACGTGAAATAGTTTAAAATTATGGTATTTTGCTTTTCGTCTCACGTATGGGATTTGATAAACAATACGTACAAGTTTTCCTCTTGAAGATCCATGACAACGAAATCAAAAACTAAAAAATATTATCAACATAAGACTAAACCATATATAACATCATTTTCTATTAATAAATAATTACCCATGAAAACTACCTTTTTACATAAATAATTTTAAATAATTATATTATTTGATTGCAAATGATTATAACTTTTTTTTATGTCATATATTAGTACATAATTAATATAACCATACAAGGCACTTTATTTTTTGTGGTTGAGGACCTAGAAAAAGAAAAAGAAAATATCTCATATATATTTTATAAATAAAATATACAGTTAACATTTCATCAATACAGGAATATGACTTCTCCACACTCTTTATGGATATCTTTCGTATATTTATATAAAAATATTTTTTTTATTCATAATATATGTTGTATGGTTTTCAGAAATATTTTAATTATTATATCTGTTGTGGAAAAAGCGTTTGCAATTTTTTTTTATTTCAGTAAAACCTTTTATTTCATAAATAGTTGCAAAAACAGTGGAAATGATAAAATCACATGTTTTTTATTATTATTTTGTATAAACATCTTCAAATAGAATGATAATAAGGTGATGTTTTTTCTATTTTTTATTAGAATATAAAAATATTTTTCCCTCAATCTATGACTTTTTATTATTTTATTTTGATATTATCAATCTGTTAAATTTTATTTAATATAATCGCCTTTTCTAAATCTTTTAAACAAAAATCCAAACATCAACCTTTGGTACAAGTATTAGTCTATAATGATTAATGATATGGATTGATTTTTTTAACTGTTTAAAAATATATATAGTTAACTATTATATTTTTTTATCTAATTCACAATTTTTAAGAAATTATTAACAAAAAGCTAGTAATTATTGTGACAAAAGATTGCAAGTGTTTTCATTGTGTAATTATAACATTATAATAACATAAAAAAAAAACTCATTTCGTAACTTTTTTTTATATATACATACACATATTTTATAAATGTAATATGTATTTTAGTAATATTTTGTATTTTGATAATTATCACAATAGTTATTTTTTATTTATGTTTATTATTTTAAAAGAAAAGTAAGCACATAACACATTACGGGCAATTTTTTAATAACCCTAAAAAAAATAGATATATTTACATCTATCCAACATAAAAAATATACTTTTTATGCTTTAGATTAGTGATCAAATGAATTACTTTCATATTCTAACAAATTAGTTTAGTAAATTAAAAAAATTAATGTAAGTTACTTTTGTTGATAATTTTTACAGATTAACTGTGGTTAAATCTTTTGATGCATCAAATAGATTAACTTTTAAAAAAGTACGTAACCAAACCATTAAAAAAAATAAAAACAATCAATAATAGTTATCTTCTCACTATAATACTTTGTTGGTTTTAATAGTTATACTTTGCATGGATGATTTGAGGTTTGGAAACAAAAACAATGTTTTTCCATGATTTATATTCTTTGATAAATATATTCCTGTACATATTTGACTATGGGAGTTTAATATATATATATATATATATATATATATATATATATATATATTTGACAATTTTTTTACAAAAGTTTATGTGGTAATTTGTGATTGATCTATTTCAAATATACATACCAATAAAACAATAACACATAATCTATTGTTAAAAAATTGTTAACATATCATGATCATATATAATATAATATAAAATCACCAAGACAATGTAAAAATAATAAACATTTCATCTTTTACACTAATACAAATCTTGACAATAAGATAATGTTATTTTTATATATAGGATCCATAATCTACTTTATAATTTCACAAAGAAATATAACATTGTTTAGAAATAAAGTTAAATTATGTTATTAAAAATTGCATATAGTCTTCCTCTTCAAGACACACCTTATTTCTTAGAAATAATATGAGAATAAGACTACCATAGAACATACTATTTAAAATAAAAAAATTATGATAAGTTAAGTTTATGTTTATTAATTTTATATTTATTTGAAATTATATTTAACATCAATAATTATATAAAAGGTATTGTCCATTTTGAAATTAAGATTTTATCATTTTTATCTTTAAAAAATATCTCAAAATATTAAAGATTTTTTTTAATACGTTAAAATATCACAAAATATTATTTCATATATTTAAAGTTGTTAATAGGGTTATACATATTTACAAGAAAGATTTAAAATTTAGCATATAAAAACTTATATGTTATGTGACAAGTTAATGTTGCGAGTTTTTAAGCAACAAGTTAATATATTTGAAGTCACTTTTTGTACTTCTCCCACATCTTTATGTGATGCATATGTTGAAATGAGTAAAACTAATTGACAGTTTAACTTACAATTATATGTAATATGTTGTTAACCTTTAATATTTTTTTATATATGTTTTATATTATATAGTATTAATTGTTATCTGAGTTATTGTTTTTTATAAATTATGTTTTTGTTAATTGAAATATTTTATATTTAATTTATCACAACTGTGGTTTATACTTTTTTTAGATGATAAGTAGTGTCTTTCCCTTTAAAATTTAATCTCTCTTCTTATTATAGAGTTAGATCTTTAAATTATTTTTGCTTGACAAAAAATTTATCCGTTAATTTTCCATTTTATTTTTTATAGAATTTATCTATAAAAAAAATAGAATAATGAACTTGTAAATTTAAAATACTAAATATAGAATGAGAATTAGCAGAAGAACATAGAAACCACTTCCTAGGAAAAATAAATTTTTTATGAATGGTTTGTTTAAAAATAAAAATTACAACCAAATAAAAAGGAGAAATGTACAAGTGGTAAAGAATAATTTGTTTCAATAATATATCCTTTTAAAAAGTAATTATTTTAGCAGTATTGCAATTTTAAAACACGTTCGTATATCCTAAAATTCCTCATAAAAGTTGAAGTCATCTTATTTAAATTTGTTATGGTAAGAGATAATATATAGAATAAAGACAATAACTAAAATT